ACATGTGATTTAGACATAATGATATGTGTTCAATACATTTACAGGGCTGTACAGTACATAAATCAGGAGTTGTTTATTATTTTAACAATAGATGGGATGGTGCTATTCTTATATCTATCAGTGCAGGCTCTTCTGAGCTGAATTTTGTTGTAGTGGCGGACTGCGAGAGGTGGGCGGGGGACTGCCGGTGGCAGTAGGTGGCGATGACGAGGATGGTGCAGTAGTCCACTGCCAAATCCTGCTAGTGCGTGGTGGTGGAGGTTACTGAGGGATGGCATTTCCAGGGTGGAGAGAGCGTTGTTATAGCCCGAGCAGTCTACGCCGAGCATGATTCTGCTATGTACAATGGAATGAGTTATAAAGGATGTTACCTATGTTGGTGAGTTCTAAGGTGACTAAAAAGGCTGATATGGGACCGGCAGTGCAGTTCACAGATGTTGCACATGTAGAGGGCTACATCAAGTGCGGGAGGGGCGGCGGCAGCGTCTTTCCGATGTTGGTGCTTGTCTGTCTCGTTATGCAGTCGGGCTAATTTGAAAGTATGGACACCGTCTTGTGTGGTGCTCCTTCAAGCGTTACGGTGTGGAGTAGCCGTCTCCAAGGTGAGGGGGGTCGATTTGGCATTTCTTCAGGTTTGTCTTAAGACTTTCCTTATACCTATTCAGTTGCCCGCTGGCATTACGTTTACTATTCGTTAGGTGACTCTAAAGTAGGTGCTTCGTCAGTCTACTGTCGTCCATGCGAGCAACAGGGCCAGTCCAGTGTATTTGTTAATGGATAATGGTAGCCTCGATGCTCCTACAGTTGGTGTCAACAGGAATACTTCCATTTGTTCCATTGTCTCCCCAGATAACTCGGGGGATGGAACGTAGACTATGTTGGTGAAAGTTTCCAAGTGCCTTGAGGTGCCTCCTGTATGTGACCCATGTCTCACTGCCATACAGCAGGGTGGGTAGGACCACTGCTCAACATACGTGAAACTTTGTAGATAATTTATGTTTCTTACAGCTGAAGACACGGTTTCGGAGTGTGCCAAAAGCTTGAGATGCACATCTGATCTGATGCTGAAAATCTTCATCGATGGACAGGTGGGAGCCGATATACCGAAAGTGGGTAACAATAAAGAGGGTAGTACTGTTAAGCTGGATCGATGGTGGAGGTGTGGCTGAACCAAAGGCAGGCTGAAAGAGAATCTGAATCTTATGTACATTCACTTCAAGGCCGAAGTGTGCATACACATCTGAGTAGGTGTTCAGGATCTCCTGTAGGTCTCGTTCAGTGTAAGCAACAAGGGTGAGGTCGTTTGCATACTAAAGTTCAGTAAAGGAAGTTGCCAACACATTTGTTCCTGCCTGGAGTCATCTAATGTTGAAAAGAGCCTTCATCCAATACTCGATGTCCACCACACAGGCTAAATTGGCACTGGCATTATTAAGGAAGGCTGCCAAGAAAATGGAAAAGAGAGTTTGTGCCAGGACACATTTTTGTTTTACCCCCGTTTGGATGAGGAAGAACTCAGATTGGGTGCCATTATGCAGGCCACTGCCGTTCATGCCATCGTGGAGTTGCCTCACAATGACGATGAATTTTAGTGGGCAGCCAAAACGGCTGAGGGTCCACCAAAGGGCTTCCCTGTTGACTAAGTCGAAGGCCTTGATTAGGTCGATGAAAGCCATGTACAGGTCAGGACACTGTTCTCTGCACTTTTCCTGCATCTGGCGGGCAGCAAAGATCATGTCAGTAGTGCCACGTCATGGTCTAAAGCCACATTGAGATTCAGGGAGGAAGGCCTCCGCCTCGGTAAGAAGTCTGTATAGGAGGACTCGGGCGATAATCTTGCCGGTTACAAACAGCGGCGAGATCCCGCGGTAGATGCCACAGTTTGATCGGTCTCCCTTGTTCTTATAAATATTGACAATGGAGGCGTTTTTAAGAGCTTGGGGGATTTCCTCCTTTTCTCATATATTCTCCAGGAGAGAGTGGAAATGGTTGGTTAGCAGAGGTCCTCCTGCTTTATACATCTCGGCTGGGATTCCATCTGGCCCTGTGGTTTTGTTATTTTTCATCTGTTTGATAGCAGTAGCTATCCAGGGATGGAGGACAGCTGTGGTGGGTTAGCTCTGGATGCTGAAGGACCTGCTGAGTAGTCAGTACATCCACAGTGGTGTCTCGGTTGAGCAGTGAATGGTAGTGCTCTTTCCATTTCTGAAGGATGCCTTTTTCGTCTTTAATTACGGAGTTACAGTTGGATGAGTGGATGGGAGCTGCGCCATGTAATGACTGGCTCATGAAATATGTTAGTGGAATTGAAAAGTTCGTGCATCTTGTGTTTATCTGCAAGTCTTTGCGTTTCACATGCTTTATTTCTAAACCATTCGTTCTTTAGATTGCGAATTTTGTGCTGGGCCGCCGCTTTCTTCTTGTGGAAGGAATCAGTTTTGTTCCGAAACTGAGGGTCATTTTCATCAAACCAGTCCTGGTGTATTCTTTCGATCTGGCCGAGCGTCTCTCTGCAGGTTTTTGTCATGACAGTGTCGAGAATACCCCCATTGGGCACTGGGATTTGAGTTGTTTGTTGTCGGGTTGTTTATCAGCCCCTGTTCGAGATGCTCTCTGAAAGCATGTGCTACCGTTGTATCCTTCAGGTGCTTAGTGTTAAAATCTCTTCTGGAGGCTTGTTGTCTTTACCATTTTGAGGCGACGTGAAGCGAGAGTTTAGCTCTGACGTGCTGATGATCAGTGACACAGTGGTCTGAGCCATGTATGGCTCTGGTGATGAGGACATCTCGGCGATCTCTTTCTCTGACAGTGATCTAGTCAATGAGATGCCAGTGTCTGGATCGTGGGTGTTGCCACGATCCCTTGAACAGGTCGGCCTGCCTAAACAAGGTGTTGGTGATAGTGAGGTTGTGTTCAGCACACTTGCTAAGCATGAGTTGGTCGTTGTTATTACATTTGCCTATCCCATTTCTCCCTATGGTTTGCTGCCATATGTCAGCATCTCTTCCAACTCTGGCATTGAAGTCACCTAGGAACACGACCTTATCTTTTCTGGTGTTGGCGTAAATGGCTTCCTTGATATCATCTGCATCCAGTGTTGGGGCGTATGCACTGATGAAAGAAGGTATGACGTGAGTGATTCAGTGGGACTCGGAGCATCTTGAGGCGCTCATTGCTCCCAACAGGCATTTCAGTTACTATGTAGGATGGATTGGCGAATGGCAAAGCCAACTCCATAAATGTGATTTCTCTCCGGAGCAGGCTTATCATTTCAGAAGAAGGTATAGTCAGACCCTCGTTCTATGAGTCGACCCTCGTCTGGGAGCCTGGACTTACTATTGGCTGCTATGTCAATGTTATACTTAGCCAGCTCTTTTGCCACAAGGGCGGTTCTTCTTTGAGGATGCTCATTTGTGCCAGTATCCAGAAAGGTCCTCGTATTCCATGCAGCGACCATAAGAAGTTGTTTATTTTGTTTTTACTTTAATCTGTGATTATGATTATGTTTTCGACCGCAAAGGAATGACCACACACACACACACACACACACACACACACACACACACACACACACACACACACACACACTCACACGCACACAGAATTCCATTAATGTACTTTATACATCTGGCTTCTAAACATTGTGTGGTAAATCCAGCCTGATGATAACATTATGTAGGTCTGTGTTATGTTGCGACTCAGGTGTGTTCATTTGTGAAGACCGGGAGTCATAGTGGAGTTGCCTGGAATAGTACACCTAGCCCCGAAAGTAGCAGATAAAAGTGTAAAATGTACAGTACATAAAGTTTTCAATTCATATATAGTTAATACAGGAACGGCGTGCGGTGGCCGAATGTGCATAGAGCGCTTGCCACTTATTATATGGGTCGATAGTTCATACCTTTGGCACCCTAAGTATATCTATTTGTGAGTGTGTACCTAACTTTATGATTTAAGAAGTTAAGGCATTCGATTACAGTGTCGGTCTCATTACCCTTAATTGGCCATTAGGACTGTGAGACCCACTTTCATTCGCTTGATTTTCTGATTTGTAAATCGATTAAGGTAAGAGTTTTGTAAATACTCAACTGAGATGATAATATGCAAAACTACTCAGGTAACTAATTATCAAAAGTGGCAAATGATTGAAAATATTAACTGACTGTAGTATGTGATTCTCAATACATCTCGATACTAAAAATTGAACACTGAAAATATAACACAGAAATAACAGGATTTTCCTCAGCTTACAACAAACTAGTCATCTTTAAAGACCCTTCCCACCCCTGTACCCCCTTCAACCCATCCCCTAACAACCCCGACGCCACTCCCGTCACTCATTCCCTTCAGCCCCTCCACCCCTTACCCCCCCTCCCCCTTCAACCCCACTCACTCCTTCCTAACCTCACCCCTCCCTTTCAACCCTGACGCCACCCCTCAACCCAAACCTTCAACCCCTCCCCCCGTTCCTTCCCTTTAACCCCCCTTCCTCCCCCTTCCACCCCAGCCCCATTCTCTAGAAACTGTTTTTTCTGGTGTATCAAAGTTTTAATCGGATTTCCCATCAACTTTGATCTTGTTATGTCGTCTCTTTATTTGTTGTTCTGCTTCTCTACCACTTTTGTCTCTGTTCTTTTTTCTGCTAAAGTTCTATTTTTTTTTTCACTGGATTTTTTATGTTTTCTTTACTTTTTTAATTTCTATTTAATAGTTTGTTCCTCATGTTTCTTGTTATTTTTCTTTTGTTCCCTATTTTTTCTTTTCTTTTGACCTCTTTCACTTTCTCTCTCTTTTTTTTCTCTCGTACACTCTCTCTTTTTCTGACTCTTTTTTTTATTTTTCTTCACACACGCACACACACACACACACACACACACACACACACACATACACTCATTTCCTCTCTCTTTCTCTGTGTCTCATTGGATCATTTCCCTTCTTTATCTCTCTTCCCATCACCGTTACATCATCACTTGTTCATAATTATGTCATTCTATCAGATCCTGGACTGGAGAAACACAGTATGCGCTCCAGCGACAGGTCGTCCATCCACGACTCCGTGCTTAAAGTGGAGACTCGGACAGCAACTGGCAGTGATCTCTCTCCCTCCGAGGACGACGACTACAGCTCCCACGATGACTGGGAGGCCTCTGACACGACCATCTCCAATGCTCGACGTAACCATGACCGGTTCAGATACTCTACTGGGGACTATAGCGACCCCATGTTCCCGGTGAAGGTGAGAGAGAGAGAGTCTAAATATAGATATGTCTGTATGTGTATGTCTGTGTATGAATGCGCACAGTATGTATATTGATATTCACTGCAGTCTATGTGGAACAATATAACAGTGCTTTATGGTTGGGCTTTTGATGACTCTGGCTGGAGCAAGTATTTTGCCTTTCATATCTTGCTTATCGAAATTCAGCTTTAGTGCGAGAATATCATAGTTGCCATAATTTTATAAGCGGAACTGTACAATTATTATTATTATTATTATTATTATTATTATTATTATTATTATTATTATTATTATTATTATTATTATTATTATTATTATTATTATTATTATTATTATAAATTTACATCATAGTTGGTATATATCAAAATCACAAATTCACTTGTGTTGACCAGCAAACAAATTATTTTTGATATATAGTTAAAGTTGTCTGTTTTTTCTCTCTTAAGCAGGACAACCCCAACAACAACAGCGGGGGATATGTGCAGTACGTCGACTACACCCGTGACTACAACCCTCCTCCACCCATCAGTTACAACCGAAACTCTATCTACTCCACTGGTGCTCCACTAAATAATGTAGATCCTCGCTACTCGGCCACCTACGGAAACCCCTACCTGCGTGTACCCTCCAGTGCCAGGGGGGGCACCAATATTTACGGCAGCACTGGAGGCATCGAGTTTAATCCCTTGTCGTCTGGAGGAGGAAGCACCACCACTCCTGGAGGAGACACTGGAGGCGTCCCCCAGAACCTCTATGCCGGAGGAGCAGCACAGAACCTCAATATCAACAATAACAACCTCAACAACATGGCAGTCAGCAACACTAGTGCTGCTTATGGCCACATCGGTCACAACCGTAACAACCTGCGGTCCAGCACTAATATGAACAATCAGTACATAATGGTGCCACAGGCAGAGTCCAGGCACGGTGTTCATGGCACACACATCTGAGCTGCAACTGGCCTTGTATGATTCCAGGAAGATCAAGATTTAATCTCTAACAAGAGCTAGATACTGTAGTACTAATTAGACAGGTAGAAAGCAACTCAAGTACTAGGTGTATGAAGCAGCTTTCATGATGTACCTCGAAGGAGTCAGCACCAGAAAGTGCTCACAATGCATGACTCAGAGATAAGAGTTTGTCTCAGAATCACTCAGGAGGCTGTTACAGCACTGCGAGTTGTATTTAGAGAGCCTAATAGGCAAGAAGGTGTTAAAAGAATTGCTCAAAATAAAAGTGTTCTGTCGCTGAGCTCTCAAAGTGTTGTTCTTGGGTCAGGTAATTAGAGGTAACGCCCTCTGGTGTCTCACTCACCAAAGTTTTTGTAAACCAAAGATAGTGTGTGTGTCTGGACCTTCTGTAACATGTGTGAGATGGAGTTATGCTGCTCCCACTCTGCCAGCTGTACAGAGTATGTGGCACACCTCATGATGGGATGGAAACTGGAGTCTGTTTTCTTCAGTGTTATGCCAGTATTTATGAGCTCCCAGTTGGGGCCTCAAATAATAATACAATTAATTAGTTAAGAATCTTAGGAGTGAATTCATCAGTGTTAATCAAAGAGTATTACAAATGAGGCGCCAGTACAGTAGTCGGTAAGCTGAGTTACAGTCTCTGAAGCACCAGCTTATTATAATAGTTATGAGTGACATTGTCCTCCTCACTTCCCCCACAAGGATATACTGGAGCTGCTCAATGAACCACATTCTACTTACCGGGACAATGATTCCAGAATTGATCAGAGTAAACAAATTCAGCGGTTTTGCCAAAGATCTAGTTCAGGGTTTCAGTGTGTATCCAACACGCTCCCGGATGTAAATATTGTGATTTTGCTTTAATAGTTTTCCCTGCTACTGTGAATAAATTTCCCAGGAGCAATCACATTGACTGTTTTAGACAGCAATAAAATCAAAAACTTCCTAATAAACCTCAGTTAGGGGATAACTTGGAGTCATTCTTCCGGGTGGGTTACGTGCTGGAGCCTTACGAAGCCTCTCATTATTGTGGTAAAATATTCATGAAGAGTGATAGTCCGCACTGACGAAATTTCACGAAATTCTCGGGTCAACCGAATTAAAGCTGGCAGGGTACTAAGTGTGTGTAAAGACAGTATATATATTGTAACCAAGAACGGAAAAAAATCTAGTGTAAATTACAGTACAGTGTTTCAGAATTATTCATATTTCCGTTATTCATACTAAAATGCATATGAAAAATTATAAAATGATTTTGAAAATACAGAAAAGTTCCAACGCCAAGGCTTATGTACATATTTATAAAAGAAATATATGAGTGATTCCAGAGGTGGCAGTGGTACTGTGCCAGGCTGTAAATATTACTGTATACAAAAATCCTTCCACTGTCATTCACTTATTTTCCATTATCATTATTCAACTCTCTTCCAAGGGTTATACATTATTGTTAATGTTCGGTGAGGATAATTGTTATTACTAAACTGCTGGTGTATAATGATGGTGATTACAACATTCTTGACATAATTGTTTGGTATTATATTTTCATTGATAATTGGCCGTGTGTGGCGTCAACTGCGTGTGTATATATACATACGGTTAGGCTTAAGAAGTCACAATGAATGATTTTCACTTTGAATGAGTGTTGTTTCTAGTTATAAATGTGTTATGAACAACTAGTCAATATAAAACATGTAGGAACAAAATAATGAACTTTTATTTTCGTAGTTGATGTAATGATTCACAATTAAAACTTCCTGCTATTGTATATTAAGATATGGGAAATAGATTAAATATTCTTGTCAAACATATAAACTCCGGGATAGTTTTTGTTACTCCTCAAGCTGATTAAACTCACTACATAACCTCACCAAACTTGAAGATAGACAGGAAGTTACTTGGTGATATAGATCAAAGGTGTAAATAGTCCATTGTAATCAAGATTTTCATTTGTGCTTCCCTTGCCCTCCAGTGAGGCCAGTGTATGACTTTGTTACATGTTTTAAGTATATCTCAATACATTTTGTAAATAAAATGTAAGGATTATATTTACTTTAATTACCTCAAAGATAATATTTTTTCTATTATATTGTTTTTATGTGCTGTTGGAAATTTGTCATGTCCTCTCTTTTAAAGTGTCATTAAATTGCCGTCATTCAGTTCTAAGGTCCCCCCGAGAGCGTCCCACTACTGTTCAAATTAGACTTGCTTCCTTTATCAACCTCCTGTCCAGATCAAAGGCTAAAAGCTGAAAAAAATATACTTTTCTTGTTATTGTTAAATCCTCGATAAACAATGGGCATACATTTGTAATTGGGATATATATTTTTTCCAAAGATAAACAAGATGACAATATATTTAACACTCCTTCATCGCTCAATTTACCAACATACACTTTTCTCACTTATTTTTCTGTGACAGCTTTTGGTGACTAAGAGTGAGTTATAGATCAATTATAAATAAAAATATATGAGTATTTGGCCTTGTGTTTTTATATTACTTAAAGGTCTCCTGGAACAGTATTCCCACTTACAAAAAAAGTTTTTAATTTTTTCTTTTCAGTCTCACATTGTCATCAACTTTCTTTACGTCCCTCGGCAGGCTTGTGACATACAGCTTCTGCAACTGTTCCCGGGCTATTTCCGTACATTCAACAACTCAATCTTCGGTCTCCCTTGACGTTACTTCTCGTCCAGTCTTCCATCCATAATCAGAGAGATGTATCCCTCTTAATTATTTTTTTTTATACCTCGTGTGTTTACTGTTCTGGATTACGTGCTTAATGACAATCCTCCGTGACCTCCAGCAACATTAACTTCTCATCACACCACCAATCTAGTTCTTCTGTTGTTACTTTAAATAATCTTCCTCATTCCTCTCCATACACACATTTCAAGGTTTGCATTCGCTTCATATTTCTCTTCTCAAGCATCCAGGTTTGACTTTCACATAGTCCAGCACTCTACACTAAGGTATTCATAATCTTAAGTTCTCTGTTCAACGACTTCATCAGTAACTCTATACGCTTGATGAATGCAGATTTTGTCAATCCAACCAGTCATCGAATCTCTGTTATACATCTTCAGCCTCCCATGGTCCAAGTTCCTCTTTTAAATAGATATTATCATTACTTCAGTTCCTCTCACTTGCTTAATCATATTGTAGTCCTTATACATCTCTCACTCATATTGACCCTGATCCTCTGTGGTCCTCCTTTCGTGTCTGACAACCTCTCTTAGTTGTCTGGTAATTTGACTTCTTTAGTTTCTCTCTCCCCTTTAAGATTCCCTAACTCCCTCTACTGCTTCAGACATCACCATCTCGGTATAAATGAAAAAGAAAAAAATATACTGGGTATTTAAACGATGGTTTCCAATAGACACCCTCCCAATCACTATTGGTTTACACTCTCTCGAGTCTAGCCCTATTGAGCGCTTCCTGGATCAGATATAAGTTTATGATAGGTCTACTCTCCCGCCAATCTACTCCGATATTGTTCAAGAACTCTATAAATTTCGTCACGATTTCTCTATCAAATGTCTTCACGAAGTACACAGAATACACAAAAAGTCCGTGACTAACCTTCCAGATCCTTTCACACAACGTCCTCATGATTCCAGTAGCATCTTTCGTGTCGTATCCCTTCTGAATCTAAAGTGATTGCTGCTGATGAAACCTTTCTTCTTTATCGTCATTCTCTTTTTTTTTGTCAACACCCTCAGCATAGTCTTAGGAGCGCGTTGGATCTGACTGATTGTACGATAATTACCCCCTTCAACAATACTTGGTCTCTTCCGTAGTGTTACCGCTATTGATATTGTAAAGTCCTTGGGCTATTGTCCCTTCTTGGATACGGCCTTTGCATAACTCAAACTAATCCTATGTTCCTTTTCTTAATAGATTCTTTAAGAATTCTTTTGGTATGCCATCGACCCCCTCAGCCTCTCCACCTCTCCTCTCCTTGATCGAGTTCCATGCCTCTTTTCCAAGTACATTTGGCTCTTTATTAACCATCTCTTTTGCCCTGTGTCCAAAACCTTCCATCTTCAATTTATACTTCTTGTCACTGACGTCTTCTATGACAGTTTCCGCCCGGACCTTCACCAATTCCAGTTAACGATTAAGGTCCCTTTGTCACCCTCGATTCCATTTTCTCTGTTGTATGTTCGATCTCTTCATATTTCCTTCACTTTTGTGTGAATTGATTCGGGTCATCCTCGTTTCTCTTTCTCCTCCATTTCTTTACGGTCCTTTTGCCACTATCCCTCACGTGTTTTATTAGTCTCCCTTCCAAGTTGATTTGTTTTAATTCTCTCATCTTTCATATTTTTCCAGTTCTACCAAATTCACCTTCTGTTTTTTTTTGTCGAGAATCTCATATGTAACTTGTGGGATTTCTAAGTATTTTGCTTTCTCTTGTAAGGAACAATCCTCTTAGGACTGTTTCTATATACAAATCTTTCTTTGCTCCTTGTATCATTTACTGCTTCACCGTAACAAGGATCAAACGAAAAAAATCCGAATTGGATTTTCCTTGTTATCAGTGATTAGAATTTACACATCGTAATTAAGACATAAAATTTTCTCTTATATTAAGTTATATTGTATTATATTATGCTTGAAAAAGATTTCGCTCAAGGAACCCTTACGGCAGATTATCAGACTGTGGCGGGCTCCGGTAAGTGCTTATAACCCAAACGTTTCTCCACTATTGGCGGAGTAGCCAGGGCACCACAGCCAAGTACAACAGTAATGGTCATCATTAGCTCTAATCACTTCGGCTGTAGTGGGTCGTATTTAAGAACAACAAGGATTATAGACTTGAGTGGTGCGCGAATAAGAATGTGAGTGTTAGTTGCTCGACGCAGTATTATGGAAATAGAAGAGTACTAATTAACGCCAGTTGCTTTTTGGAATGCAGTTCTATTATATAATTCTTTCTCGGTAAAGCAATTTATCTCACCACCGACCTGATGGTATATAAACCGGAATAAAAAAAAAAAATGGTCAGGTATTAGGTAATGACCCTACTAATCTTTAAATGTGGTTATCAGCATGTACCTAGATCAAGGCGCACCTACAGTGATTTATATATATATATATATATATATATATATATATATATATATATATATATATATATATATATATATATATATATAGTATATCTTATATATATTTATATATATATATATATATATTTATATATATTTTTATATATATATATATTTATATATATTTATATATATATATATATATTTATATATATTTATATATATATATATATACTGTACATAGTGTACAGTATATTAGGGTGGTCCTTATTTTTCAACTTTGGAATTTTTTACCACAGACCCTGCTAAAAGTGTCCATTTAGGACAAAAACATTGTGTGTGGAGTTATTTTTAAATATATTAATATTTAGAGGTTGCTCAAAGCTGTCAAAATTAAGTAATCGATGTAGTCGATTACTTTGTAGCCGATTACGCCCACCACTAGTGCGTCGCATTTGGCACGATTGTGGTGAGTTTTTGATGGTCGTGATTGATGATTGGGGAAATTAGAAACAGTTCTGCAGAGTATTCTCATTATTAATTTATATTAATAGTTAATTTCTTTATTCCTCAGGTCAAAATGGCTAATGCAGGAGTAAAAACACGAGAAAATGTGTATTTGATAAACACATTATGTGATGACATTACAGGGGCTAAGTTACCTTCAAACAGGCAAGTGTTACAGTATTTTTTAAGCCTGCAACGCACACAGAAAAAAACCATCAGAGTGGCAGCTGGGGAAGTCACAGACAAAGTTCTTCAATTTTGGACAAAAGTAAACATTCCCACACACCACAAACCAGATTGTGTGAATCTAGTGCACAAAATGTTTGACAAGTGGAGTAGTTTGAAAAAGAACTCTTCAAGAAAGACAGACACTCAAAAGCAGAAAGAGAAAGAGTTCACTGATACATTTGAAGATCTCTTTGACATTGCACATGTGAATGCTTTGAATATGATGACAGTTCAGGAGGATAAGGATTTCTTAATAGCGCAACGAGAAAAAGGGCGTCGTGGGGCAATGTCATCTCTTGACAAAGTATTCCTGAAAAGACAGAAACGACGAGAAAAAACTCTCAAGAAAGCAATGAAAAGGAAGTTGGCTGCAGACAGTGCAGAGGAAGAAGCCAAAAAATGCCAGGCCATCGTTGTCTTGGACAGCAGTAGTACGTCTTCTTCTGAGGAATCCAACCCAGTTCCTGGCCCATCAGCACTTCAAACTCCACCTACTGTCAAGAAGCGTGGACGAAAAGAAATTCTAACTCCAGAACTTTCTGCAGCATTAGATCGGACCAAGTCCTCAGATAGAATGGCCATGCACAATGTCACCCAAACTGCCCGGAGTCTGGGCCATGATGTCAGTGAATTGATTCTGAATCGATCAAGCATCAGGAGGAAACGTCAGCATCATCGCAGTAGCAGGGCAGCTGAAATCCTTTCAAACTTCAAACCATAGTCAGTTTTAATTGTTCACTGGGATGGTAAATTGATGCACGATTTGACGGGGCATAGGGGGCCATGTTGACAGACTCCCAGTTCTTGTCTCAGGCAATGGCACCTCCCAACTTCTTGCTGTTCCAAAACTTCCCTCTGGTACCGGTGATGAACAAGCAAAATCTGTTGTGAAGGCTTTGCAGCAATGGCACATTGCAGACATCGTGCATGGCATGTGTTTTGATACAACAAGCTCAAATACTGGTCACCACAAGGGTGCGTGTGTCAAAATTGAGCAGTTGCTGGGTCGTGATTTGCTATATTTTGCCTGCCGCCACCATGTACTAGAACTTGTAGCTGGAGTTGCTTTTAAAGCTGTAATGGGGCACTCAGCTGCTCCTGACATACAGCTGTTTCGAAGATTCCAAGCCAAGTGAGAACAAATTGACAAGCAGAAGTTTGAAGACTCCTCCACCGACGATCTGGCAGAAGAATCGGTCTGAGCTGTTAGGGACGATCTAACCAACTTCATTGAGAAGGCTCTATTGGAGACACAGC